ATGATCCATGTGAATGAATTCGAAATTGCTTCTTCCGGTAAACAACTGGAATGAAAAGCGTTACATTAATCAGTTGTAATGTTTATGAAGGAGATAACCTTTGCTACATTCGGAACGGTAGATAATCAATGAGGAAGTTGTATTTGGTGTTTTTGAGAAGTGCTGAGTGTACGTGAAAGCTTCGAGACGAAGACATCGTCGTTACAACGTCTCAAAAACTTGTTTCTCTTCGTATTCACAATAAATAATCGTCACTTAAGTGCAACTGATCGTTTTCATTTAATGAGATCAGTATATGGCGAATAAAAATAAACGAATGCTGGAAAAGATCGGAAACTGATTGATCGCTCCATACTTGTTTTTCAGAATTGGCACGAGGTTCTGAAACGTTATGGTTAGGCGCAGCTCAGTTTGGTGCTTCCTTGGACTATGTTTGGACCGACCATACGCCTTTCGATTTTGAGAATTGGCCGAATGGTGAGAACAGTTTTAGTTTCGAGTGGTTTCAGCGAGTGCAATTTCAGAAAATTTGGTCTCCTAGTTTGGAGAGACCAAATTGAATGGTTCATTAATCAGGCAGTTCGATTAAGAGGAAATTACCTGCTCAGAAAAGATTATTATTTTGCTGTTATTACTCAATATCACTTTACCTTACTATTATAATAAATATAATAATAGTAAAGTTACTAGTAAGTAATAGTTTACTATTGCTTTAGTTATTATTAGGCCTTTCATATAACCATGAGGATTTGTAATAAATCACAAATTTTTGCAGACGCTCGTCCGCCGTACGATCCTGGTCGTAGGTGCACGAAAATGAACACACGAACCCAAGAGTGGTTCCAGAGCTGTTGTAAAGACCCTTCACCTTACGTTTGTGAAATGAAGCCGAGTAGTCCCGTGACAACATCGGTCGACTCGTATCAATACGCCTATTACTCGACCACTAAACCACCATATTATAACACTTATCCAAGTACAAAAGCACCATATTATAACACTTATCCAAGCACAATAGCACCTCATTATTA